AAATAAGCAATTGACCTAGAACAAATCTCCATCACCAAAGCAACAGCCTCTTGAGAAGTTAGCTTGTTCAGTGATTTGCCATTTGTTGTAGCAATCAACTTTCTAAAAGATCCATTTCATGAACCTGGGAAATGTATTGGGATTATCTGCTTTTATTATTGTCTTGTGTTCGCACAATCAATATTACACAAAAAATAGACATCTATAAAGTGTGATAACAGTGAACTTAATTCCTTTGGTTATAAGGATAAATTATACTTTACAGTCAACAATATGTACATTGACATTTTTTGAAACACTGACCAGGAGTGCTCGAACAAATCCAGTGACTCCCACTAGATTTCTATATTTAAGGTTCACGGAGTTCATCATTGTATCAGTAATTGCATTGAAACAAAAATATGTTTTCATTTTCTTCAAATCATCCACATTGTTGCGCATATCCCCAACCAAGTCTTGGCCACTTATCGCAAAAAAAAAAATGTCATAAATGCATACAAATAGAGTGTTAGATCATTTGTAATCCACTACTTTCATGGAGTCCATTGCTAAATTTCAATCATTTTCATGGTCATGATTCTATCAAGTTCAAGATCCAAAAACGTCATTGAAGGGAGGAGATCAAACATCAAAGTTATATCATTCAACCTTTGTATGCTCCTTTATACTTAGGACAAAAGAGATAGTGCGAGAGACGAATAAAAAAAAAATACTTAGGACAAAGGTAATGACCTAGACACCTAAGATGAACCCTTAGTTATTTTAACTTAGGATGATTAGGATGAAAATGAAATTAGAAGCAATCTGATTATGACTCCTAGGTGATTTTGAAAAGATATGTTTTTCTAAACCATTTATGAGTTTTGAAAACATAGTTTGAGTCACAATTGGACCCCTCTTTAGGCAACACCCTTTAGTGCTCAAAATGGACAACTTAACAGTGAACTTACGAATATTAATTTTGAATATGCAATCCTACAACATTTAATCAAGAACAAACATAACACAATCACTAAATAAATGCACATTAAATCGCTTATATATAGTGAACTAATAATTTTTTGTTCAAATTACTAAATACTAACGCAACAACTAGTTGGGAACTTATGATTAGTGATTTTGAATATGTAATACTATACCATTTGATCAAGGATAAACAAAACACAATCCTTAATTGGACATTATATTTCTTATATTACATTGAAAATGATTATGTGGATCATAATGAATAAAATTGAGTTTATCACAATTTATTTAAAACCCTAGTGAAGAAAACAACTAGAAGAATTTTAAAACCACTTACTTGAAATCTTACTATTGCAAATTTTTTATTGTGACAAAGAGCAAATAATCTTTGTTCAAAACATAGTTTTAAAACCCGGCTTGGACATCAACCCAATAAGAGGACTGAGTAAATGAGTTATTGGTTCAACCGTTGGGTTACTGGTTAGACCGGTCATGTAATAAAATAATAACTATTAATATGTTGAAAAAATATAATAATATTAAAAATAGAGCTTTAGATCAAATAAAAACTCAAAAATTATCAAACATGTAACCAATTTTCAAGACAATTTATAAAACTAGGTATAGAAAAATACCTCTATCCAAAGTTCAAGACTCCAATTATGCATCCATCCAAAAATACTCCACATGATTTTTCAATGAAGATGAGAGTTCACAAAATAGATAGTGAGAGAGACGAATAGATGGAGATGGATAGATCATGAGATAAGGACAGTGATATGCACACATCACACCAGATTATTATCTACTAACAAGGGTGACGAAAAATAAGCCAAAAGTTTTGAAAATCTTTACTAAAACAAGTCCAATATTCATAAAATAAGGAACCAAAAATAACAAAATAACAACCATGGAGACAATCGAGAGAACAAAACATTGACAATGAGAGTCGAGAAAGAGATGAAATACCCGTGTCTAAGTGAAAGAAATGCAAGGGAATAATTGAGAGAAGCCATGAAAAACGATGCAAGACCTATTGATTGAAGTTGTTTTTGAAAATGCACGATTTCTGGTCGAGCGATTGCCAAAAAACATGTGATTTTCGTACAGGTTCTTTGTATAAAATCATTTTTATGTAGATTTAAGGCTAGATTTATACCATAAAAATATATGAATTAGGAAGCAGTTGCTGGAATGATTCATTTGAACGCGATGTGATTTTCTTGGAAAGTTATGTCATTTTCTGGAAAATGATGGTCCACACAGTAACCACCTTAAATAAGGGTATTTTTGTCAATTGCCTATTTTATGAACCCTGATATTAAGAGTGTTCAAGTTAGACTTAATACCTAGATTGTCCGATTGTAGACCTCTAACCCATTTTCATTTTTCTTAAACTACCCGAGCTATGAATGAAATTTTATCGACAAAGAAAGTAAGAATCTGTTTAAAAACTATAGACTAAACAATCGAATGCAAGAATACATACATAACCATATGAGGACTTGACTACGATATTGAAGAAAAAATTTCGGTACTGTACCTTCAATTTTTATTATTTTAATTGGTATTTTTATAATTTTTGTTGGTCATTTTATAACGAAAAAGTGTACCACTTTTTTTTGGTGATTTATCACTTTTATTGATATTTTTATTATTATTGTGAGTGTTTTTGTCACAATTGTAATAACTATTTTTACCACTTTTCTTCGATAGAAAAAAAATTATCACTTTTTTATGGGGTGATTTATCATATTTGTGGATGCTTTTGTCGCTGTCGTAATAACTTTTTTTTTGTTTTTTTTATGATTTTTGGGGTATCACAATAATATCAAAAATCTCTATAAATATAATAAAAGTAACCCCAAATGCAATAAAAAGAGATATTTTGAATTGTTTTTTTTTTTTGGTAGTCAACTCCCCACATGAGATGTAAAAATGGGATATGATGGCTCGGTGTAAAAGGCAGGACAGTAATATATTCCATTTGTGAGCAGCATCAGAAACCTCTTACGCCTAAATACCTCGCAACTTGTTCTCATAACAGTGCCCTCATCACCGTTTATTTCCCCAAAACTGCGCACTCTTTAGTAAACCTACCCCGACAAACCGTCACTTCTATACTGTCCTTACTGATGTCACCACAATAAAAGCGTGAATTCACAACATACCATACATCATATATGTACTTGGGTCCATACAGCAATAAGATAGCTTTCGGTCTCAATTACTTTAGGTGGGAAGGGAATTGGAAGGAAAGCTGCAACAGCACTAGTCTGCAAGTGTGTTCTGCTTGGCTTGGTGAGTGGATTTTGTTGTTTTGTTCCGGATCTCAAACGATTGTTCTTTGATTTATCTTCAATTTACTTTAATAATCGTCATAGTTGTTGATGATTTTACGTTGATTGATCTGAAATCTTTGCATAATAATTGAAGAGCGGTAACAATCTTTTTATGATTTCGCCATATCTTCATCACTAATGACACTTTCTTGCACTCATATTAAGCATGCCATATCACCGATCTGCTTTATTCAATTCACACACACGCACGCACAACAACCGCCTTATTTTTACTGATTTCGACCAGATATGCGAAGGTTCGTGAATTGGGGAACTGGAAACTAAAGAGAAGTATATTGTTTGTTCTTTTTTATTTTTAAATGTGATTATTGTTTGCTTTACTATTCTTAAAACAATGTTGGTAAGTACTATATTGCAATTATCGCTCAAGATGAAACGCCTGTGAAGAGCTTAATGTGTCCCAAGTGATGAATCGAAAATTGTCAAATAACAACCAAAAACAGCATAATAACAAGTACGAGGTTATGCCTGCCTAGTTCAATGATATTTTGCTTATTCTTGCATTTCTTTATCAATCGGTTTCGTTGTAGTATGTTCTTCTGCAGTGATTTGTTGTGCCTTGCCTCATATTTTTCTTGTTTCAGAAATAATACATATATTGATTAAGGTGTTGCAATGGCAAACATAAACATTGAGGGAATCTTAAAGGAANGCTCGGTGTAAAAGGCAGGACAGTAATATATTCCATTTGTGAGCAGCATCAGAAACCTCTTACGCCTAAATACCTCGCAACTTGTTCTCATAACAGTGCCCTCATCACCGTTTATTTCCCCAAAACTGCGCACTCTTTAGTAAACCTACCCCGACAAACCGTCACTTCTATACTGTCCTTACTGATGTCACCACAATAAAAGCGTGAATTCACAACATACCATACATCATATATGTACTTGGGTCCATACAGCAATAAGATAGCTTTCGGTCTCAATTACTTTAGGTGGGAAGGGAATTGGAAGGAAAGCTGCAACAGCACTAGTCTGCAAGTGTGTTCTGCTTGGCTTGGTGAGTGGATTTTGTTGTTTTGTTCCGGATCTCAAACGATTGTTCTTTGATTTATCTTCAATTTACTTTAATAATCGTCATAGTTGTTGATGATTTTACGTTGATTGATCTGAAATCTTTGCATAATAATTGAAGAGCGGTAACAATCTTTTTATGATTTCGCCATATCTTCATCACTAATGACACTTTCTTGCACTCATATTAAGCATGCCATATCACCGATCTGCTTTATTCAATTCACACACACGCACGCACAACAACCGCCTTATTTTTACTGATTTCGACCAGATATGCGAAGGTTCGTGAATTGGGGAACTGGAAACTAAAGAGAAGTATATTGTTTGTTCTTTTTTATTTTTAAATGTGATTATTGTTTGCTTTACTATTCTTAAAACAATGTTGGTAAGTACTATATTGCAATTATCGCTCAAGATGAAACGCCTGTGAAGAGCTTAATGTGTCCCAAGTGATGAATCGAAAATTGTCAAATAACAACCAAAAACAGCATAATAACAAGTACGAGGTTATGCCTGCCTAGTTCAATGATATTTTGCTTATTCTTGCATTTCTTTATCAATCGGTTTCGTTGTAGTATGTTCTTCTGCAGTGATTTGTTGTGCCTTGCCTCATATTTTTCTTGTTTCAGAAATAATACATATATTGATTAAGGTGTTGCAATGGCAAACATAAACATTGAGGGAATCTTAAAGGAACTTCCAAATGATGGCCGTGTTCCGAAGACAAAGATTGTGTGCACACTGGGCCCTGCTTCTCGGACCGTGCCAATGCTTGAGAAGCTTCTGAAAGCAGGGATGAATGTTGCAAGGTTCAACTTCTCGCACGGGACCCATGAGTACCATCAGGAGACCTTGAACAATCTCAGGATTGCTATGCAGAACACTCAGATCTTGTGTGCTGTCATGCTTGATACGAAGGTCCCTGATTTTTTCTACTTTGTTTAACTTCTTTGGGCAATTTTCCATATCCTTACATTGTGCGATGGGCCTTTTGACTTGGAAAAGGTTATTCTCTAGTGTGGAAATGAGTTTGGTTTCTCCATTATCTTGTATTTAGATGATTGTGATTGATTTTTTGGGATTTAAAAAGAATAAGAAAACTCAAACTATTTCACACTGTGTGCGTGTGTGTGTGTTTTTTTTGGGTGGGTGGGTTAGGTTATGGGCATCATTTTATTTGGATATTGAGGATAGATCGACATCAAGAATCAAGTAGATTTTCAACACTCGAAGGTAGCCGAAACAGGCCTAAGGGAGAGTGTAAGGGGTGTTGATTCCTTCATTATTTTAGCAAAAGTTTATGCGGCTCGAGCCAACTTTGTGCCTTCACCTGGGTTACTTTCAATATCATACACCCATGTTCCTATATGTATATCGGCTAATGGTATGAAATTTATTATTTGAGACGTTAGATCAACTATCTTGTGTCTCTAATTAGGGCAAATTGGAGAGTATGGTTCAAAGTATTGGCCGGATAGCGATACGAGTCGGTTGAGTCTGCATCTTCTGAAATGATATCGTTTCACAATACATATACCCCTAGTCTCGCACAATTCGGCTGAGTCGTCCGAGTTGTATTCGAGTCAATCTCGAGTCACCGAGTTATGATCCCTTAATCGATCGATATGGTTCTGCGATGCTAGATATGACTTGAATCTCTTGTTATGTTCATTTTTTTTAGGTCGTATCGCCTAATACTGCCCGATGACAACTAATGTCTTGGAGCTCTCTGAGTCGATAGCCAATACCGCGACCTTGAACCATGTTGGAGAGCTTTTTGTGATAGTGACATGCCGTTGGCTTCTATTGTATTTTCTTTTTGCATTGCTTTCTTTCTTTCTCATCACTATTTTAAGGGTCACCTATTCTTGTACTGAATTTTCATTTTTCCTTTCATTTTTAATAAACTACTATTGTTGATAAGAAAATTCACCACTGCGGTAGTCTTCTCCATAGTGATAAAACTACAGGTCAATGTAGGAAATGATGATCTATAGTCCAGCAAGAGGCAAGTATGAGTCCTCCTCCTTTAGACAAATCATTGGCATTGAGTCTCTTATAATGAAGTTTAAGAGGCCTATTTGTTTTGTAAATTATTTTGGTAGTGGCCAATCGTAGAATCTTGGGATTGTCAACTATAGCACCAAAGAAAACTTATAAGAAAAATCCTAACTTGTCTATCAGGAATTGACCATCTTAAAGAGCCTTCATCCAACCCAGATAATGGAGATGACAACTCATGAACTTCTCTACCATTAAAATTTTAAAAAAGTTAAAATTCCAAGGGGTAGGATAAAAAAATACACCATAGAAATAGTTGCGCCAATGTGAGAATGGGATAAACGATAAAATTGGAGGAACAAAACTGAAATGATAATCAATCGTCTATCATCTTCGCTGAATTGAAATTTTCCCATTTTCCTCAACAATTTTTTAAATCTGAAAAAACAAAAAATTTCTAAGACATATTTCAAGGAAAATGTTATTTGGACTTAAAAAATTGATATAATTTGCTGACCTAATGACGTGGCTTCATTGGAATCATTGGATAAACACCAAGTTCCAATGTTTAATAGAGCTCACAGTTAATCCAAAGGTCCTAGTGAATTAGGTCAGCAAATTAGGTCCCAATAACATTGCTCATATTTCAATGGGTTTCAAGAAGGCCTCAAGTCTATCACATGAGAATTAGATCCATTATTTTGAATCTCATATCTACTTTTGATACCAACATTCTATGAGAAATTGTGTTTAATAGGGAGCCTCCACAACCACTTCCCCACCAAGACACTGATCGTGGCAATAAATTACTGAACGTTAGACCCCCCTATTCGAGATTGAATCTCCCATTATACTAAACGATCTCTTTTTCCTTCCCCACTCCCCGTCTCTTAGAACTTAACCTTTCTATCTTGTCACGCTCGATGCAAATTCTAAGAGACCATGGAGTAAATAGGTGTACTAGATAAAACAGGCTGCACTAAGGTCAATCTTTCCCCTTTTGATGTCATCACATTTCTTCATCCATTCAATTGCTTTCCAGTTTTGCTAATCACAACATTAAAAAAGTTTTCAGTTCTTGGATTCTCATCTAAAGGAAGACTCAAATATCTTAGAGGTCGCCTTTCATGGGAACAACTCAACACATACCAATCTATCTCGAAATCTCGAAAAGGGGTTTAGTACCAATAGTTGAGGTTTAACTTATATTAACTGTTAACCATAAATCAACTCAAATTTTTGAAATGGCAATACTAAGAATTTTCAACTTCAAGTTCTTATAAAAAAAACATTATATCAATGGACTTTAATGAGATATTGAAATCGTTTTCCTACTAATTTTTAAAACCCCAATGTAATCAAACTCCTTAGCTTTCTCCAACAATCTACTCAAAACATCTACCACTATTGTAAAAAGAAAAAAGTAAAACGGGGATAACGGGTGACATTTTCTAAGACCACCGGAAGCAAATGTACCTTTCATTGGTTTTCCTGGAACAATGACTGAAACGTAATTCCCAATTGTTGTATTTTGTAAAATCAGATCCAAAAAGTCTTAATCTACATGATCATAGGAGATTCTCAAAATTAATCTTAAGAATTATTCATTCCTTTCTATTTACTCTTCATTCCTCCATTGTATCATTTGTAATTAAACCCTCTTCTAGAATTTGGTGCGCCTTCACATTAGCACTTTTAGTTTTGGGAATAATATCACTTAAAACCTCTTTTAGTCTCCTAGAAAACACTTTGATCAACTTTTTCTGCAGAAGTAACTAAACTTGTTGCCCTTAAGTCACTTAAATTCAATAATTTTCGCGTTCGTATGGGTAAGATACTTAAAATTTGAAAGCTAAAGTTTCCGAAGGTTTGGTAAGGAAAGAAGAGAAGATGGGAAAGAGATTCCTCTAATAGAGTCGAAAAAATAAGCTCTTTTATAAACTCCTTTCTATTTATATTATTAAGTATATAAGAAAATGACAAGAATGTCAGTCATTTAGATTTTCTAGATATTCTAACACCCCCCTTCAATTTGGTACGTGGATATTACACTTGCGTAGCTTAGCTAAAATACTTTGAAAGAGTTTACATGATACTTATTTAGTAAACAAATCAACTAGTTGTTCTCAGGTCTTCACAAAAAGTGTGTGAATAAGACTAAGAGTTTAGTCTCTCTTTAATTCAATTTCTATCAACCTCAATATGATTGGTTTAACCATGTTAAGTTTGGTTATGTACAATGTTGATGGTAGCCTTGGTGCCACAATAAAGTCTCATTGGGCTGCATGAATCAACACCAAGCTCTATCATCATAATTCAAAACCATAAAAGTTTAGACACTCCATGTGCAATAGCTTTAAACTCAGCCTCAGCATTTGATGTTGCAACAACTAATTGTTTCTTACTAGGCAAGTTGCCTTCAACAAAGTTGTAGTACTTAAGAGATACTACCCAATCTGCATCTATATGACTCCAAACTCAAATGATTGTGTGTATTAGATAGAAAACCTCCCCCTAGGAGCTTCAAATGTGGTAAAATTCTAAAGCCTACCTCTAAACGGGATGGTCATTGAGAATGCATGAACGGACTATGACACTCTCTGCATAGGCAATATCTAGTTGGGTATGTGAGTGATAAATCTAGCCTGCATGCAAGTCTAATACTTGCATGTATCGGCCTTTGTATCCTCACTATTTTTACCCTGACTATGATTTGGCTTAATCGAAGTATCATGCGGCTTGCAACCAAGCACTTGTATCTCCTTTAGCAAGTCTAAAACATACTTCTGGGAAGAAATAATGGTTTAATTTCTTATTTTGTAACTTTTATACCAAAGAAATATTTCAAGTTATGTATATCTTTCATCTCAAATTCCTTGTCCTTGCACCTCCTCAATATTATCACTAGTTGTGACAATACTACCTACATAGCTTATGAGCACATCGATCCTCCCTTGTTTATATTTGATAAAAAGAGTGACCAACCTGACTCTCCTTGCACTCATACTTCTATAGAGCTATACTAAATTTAAAAAGTTCTAGGAAATTGTTTCAAACTAAAGAGACTTTTTGACTAATTCCTTTAGGGGAGGGGATGGTGAATCAAAAGGAGCATCCACATCTACATCTACTTTCTCTTCCAAGTCACCATTTGAAGAAATTTATTCTCCACTTCTAATTGTGACCATCCAAATTTTGTTGCCAGTGGGAGAAATACTTTAATGCAATTCATTAGGCCACAAGTGCAAAGATTTTGGATGATGAATGCCACAAGTTCGAGTGAAACCCTTAGTCATGAATCTATTTTTATACCACTCCACTAGTCCACCTACTTTATCCTTCATAGTAGTTATTAATTTTCACCCAATGTATGCATTGATCAAAATTTCGTCCGCTAGCTCAGAAAAAGAAATATTTTGAAAATGTGTTAGAAACAAAATGAAAATATTTAAAAATTTTGGAATTTTATTTGGAAATATTCTAGAACATTGGTTGACTTTTATCAAACAATCCCAGAACATTTTGGAATATTTTGAAAATGAAATTTTTTGATTTTCCATCACTGTTTAATTTCATTTCCATTGAAATGAGTAAATTTTAGTTGTTTCTGTAGAATCGATTTAAAATTGTAATCCACGTATGATAAGAAGTTTGACAATGTTATCGAGGCACTTTGCTATTGAAGGTACTTTCTATTGCCTCTAGAGGTTGTGTTATATTATTATGACTTGGAATTGAAATACCTTCCATTCTAGAGAAGGTTGAGTGCTAAGCAAGTTAGGTGGATCCACATTGTCCATGAGTTATTGTTTTGCAAACCACGAGTTTCATGTGTCAAGATTTGATAGGATTTGAGATAAACGTGGCTCTTGTCCCGACGCTAATAGTGTTTTTTAGAATGTTCAGGCTAAAACCCATCATGGTTTTGTTGACTTTCTTGTTCGAGATGGTTACTTGTTTAGAGGGTCTGGTTTGCCCATTCCCTGCACTTCATTTACATATTTATTAATTTGGGAGTTACATGTTAGATGTTTTGCATGACACTTTTGGTGGCATAAGAAATTTTTCATTAGTCATGGATAGATTTTTTTCAAGATGGCGGATTTCATTGCTTGCACCAAGTCCACTAACTCACACATGGCCAAATTATTATTTAAGGAGGTTTTTTGACTTTCTTGGTTTCCAATTTCCATTTTGTAGAATGGAATTTCAATTTTGTGGGTTACTTTTGCAAGGTACTTTGGAAGCTCTTTAACATTAATCTTAAGTTTTTGGCTGCCTTTCATCCATAACTTGGTCAAACCGAGGTTATTAATATTAGTTTCAGAGATTTGATTAGGTTCGTAGATGACGAAAAATTGAAAAATTAAGTTTTGTTGTTGCTCACTGCCGAGTTTACCTACGGTAACTCTACGAATCGATTGACGGGAAAGCGTCCCTTTTAGATTGTTTATGATTATTCTCCTCAGCAGTCGACTCCCTTGTTACCTTTACCTCTTGATTTCTATTCTTAAGAATTTGTGGAAAATTTTTCGCAACATATCTATGGCTTATTGGTAAGGACAGAGGCAGGAAATTATTGTAAGGTGGGACACATTAGTAAGTTTTAATTTTTTCCCAATTGACCGTAAAAATTCATAAATTCATATTTATTGAAATCATTCTTGATACTTAAAAATTTATTAGACATGTAAGGTTAAAAACTGATACCCATAGCATGTACAAACAAAAATAATTATAATTTCTTACCCTAATGAGTTTTTATCATTTGAAAGCGTTACAAAATCAATGCCATCAACAAATGATTTTTTCTATATACAAAATCATGGAGACAATCATCTATTTATAACCTTGTAGTTTTTTACATAATGACACTCATTTCTATACAATAAAAAAATAATCATATAATTTTAAAAAGTTATAAAATGACCCTGATATGTTCAAAACTTATTCAGACATGTCCGAAACGTATTTAAAAGTTAAGAATAATATTAATTGCATCTTATTTGGGATTTAATTGGTGGGAAACCAATGGATTTTGGCTATTGGATGGATATGAATTTCATTGAATATTAGGACTCACGATTATGCTTAATGTCAGTCCCAATAGAATTGCTCAAAAGTTAATAATTATGTAGGTAGGGGGTTTATCCTTAGGAATATCAAAAGAGTACAGTAATATGGTGGACACAACTGAATATGTTTGTGTTATTTTAAAAAAATACATATTGTATGTCAAGAAAAATAATTGAGGGTGGCATGGTGCACCTTGCTTCTCGGTATAGTAGGCGTAACTGTAGTTTGTTTATTTTAATAGATTTTATTGTCATTTGGTTAATTTATTTTTGGGATATTATCATAGGGTTTGTTTTTATTTTTTAAAAATTTTGTTTGTAAATGACTATTAAGAATAATAGAGTTGAGGTAGAACTCGATTTAGGGTCTTGTGATTGTTAATGTTAGGAAATTGATCATTTCTAATGACTAATTCCACGAAGTTACATTGTAAACCACAACTTAAGTTCATAGTCATGATGCTTCAAGGTCAAGATCCAAAAGCTAAAATAAGAAAGGAGTTCAAGCTTCAAAACCATATCATGAAAACCTCCCTTGAACCTTCAAAGTTTAGGAAAGATAATGACTTAGATACCTTAAGACCCTTAGTTTTATACTTTGGCTCATTATGTTTTGTTTAAAATGGACTTGGGAAAATCTGTGATCGACTAAAGAGGTTTTTTCATGAAAATGCTTTTGAAACATCTAAGCTTGTTCTAAAAACTTAGCTTGAGTCATGTATCGAATCTTTAGCTTGAGTCATGTATCGAATCTTTATTGAGTAACAATCTTTGGTGTTCAATGGGATAAGTTTTTGCTTGTTTTTTGGCTTAAAAGACAGTAGGGATTTCCCTTTTGCTCTTTCGTCTTTGGTTAGAGCGGTCTTTAAACACTTACGGAAAAAAATTGAAGAATACTAAAGAAGTTGGTAGTGGCGACGGCTTGATCGGTCCTTGCTCAACCCTATTGGTTTGATTCATTTTTTCATTCTAGTGATGTTCACCCTCTGTTTGCCCAGAGTGACGGCTCGAGCGGTTCCTCGTGAATTTCAGTTTTCTTGGGCCTCAAGACTATTCTAATTTCAGGTCTATTTATAGGGCATGCCTCTTTCCACATAGGGTATCTTCCTCTAGCTAGAAAAGAATAAAGATCATCTAGGGAGCTAAGAACAAATCTTAGATCTGTAAGATCCAAAATGCCAATACTTCTTGATCCATTAAATTAAACTTCACACTGAACAAAAAGATCTCGTGAAGAACTGCCAAAATTTACATTGGTTGTGTGCATAAAAGGAATCTTGGGAGGCATCCTTGAAGATTGCTCGAGACCTAGACAGATCGTGTGGTGATTGGGTGCAAGTGAAGCTAGTTCTCAAGATTTTTGTGAGTGTATCCAGAGGATCGATTAAAGGAAGAAAACATCTAACCATGAGTATATTGGTTGAGTTATAAGATTTATGTCCTTATAATTGATTTTAGGTGAACTGAGATCGGTTCTGTAGTTTTTTCGGAGAGGGTGCTCACGTTAATTTGCTTGTGTTGTGGATTGTTGATTTATTGCTTTATGTTAGCACATACTCACAATGTGTTTGATGAATTGTTTATTTGATATCTATATCTCATATCATCATTAATTCGATGGTTGTTGTGATTGTCTAATGAACCTTTGTTATTCTGCTCTTCTCCTTTGTCCCTTCTCATATCCATTTCTTCTTCTTCAATTGTCATCAATTTGGTATCAAGTCTAATCTACGTCACTTGGTAGCAAAGTGCAAGCTACAGTACCATTGCTTTGTCTTGCATTGTTGTTTGTTTCATTTAGGTTTGGGGTCTGAAACTAAGAGCATCCACTTGGTGCAAAATAATGTCAAAGGTTTGATCTATACTCAATCTATCCCTGCTAGATCTCCATTAATGGGACTAAGCTTGGTGTTATTTTTTTTAGGTTGACTTCGAAAGATTTATTCGAATGTGCATACTGGTTAGAAGGAACAAAATACAATATATTCCCAGAATAGCATCTATAGTTGGAATGACTGGAACTTGCTACTTGGGTAACTTATCCAAGTGGGATGGATTTGGAATGACAAGACTGCTAGGGGAATTTTGTGTTTGCTATCATCTGTGGTTGTAGAGCATCAGTTTGACGACATGGAATTGTAACATGTTCATGAGTGTGGTCATTTCTCTCCCTGTTGGGTGGTAGAGGACTTATTTGGTGGTTCTGACTTTTGGCATGCCACCCTGACCTGTTGTGATGGGAGTTTTTGTTATCCAACTATGTTTTTGGGCCAAGGACTGTTTACAACACCAATAGAGAGTTAACAGAGTTTTAGATGTATTGACATATTGTCCTTGTTGCAGCCTACTGTATTACTCTATTTGCTTTATCATAGTCCAAAGACTGAGCCTTGAAGATCCCCAGGCTTCATTATCACTTGAAAAAATTTCACATTGAAGATTGCGCTCCACTTTTTTGTGCTTATGGTTATCATTGCTATTTATAGTTCAGCCACTTGATATGCTGGTTGATTACGCATCTTGTGTTGTGTTTCACTGCTTGTTGGAGTTTGGTTCAACATGTTTGAGATGTCTTCATTGTTCATTGCATTAAACTACTGATTCATGTAGCTTGGATACATCTTTAGCTTCTGTCTAGAAAACTCCATTCCTTTAAATATAGTTTTCTATGCCAATTTGATCTTTTCTCCTTTAAATCTATATTGGGACATCCTAATTATGGTCATTTCAGCCCTAGTGTGAAGATGGAAGACAGTTGATTTGTTATACTATGCACTTAATTTTCAAATTGGTGGAAAATATTTGTCTCCAACAAGCTAGATAGAGTGGGGTGGGTGAATAATTTGTCACCTTCAGTACTATCTAGGGCGTTTATAGTTTACTGCGGGCCTTCATTCTCAATGGCATCTGGTGCCCCTTCCCCAATAATACGTGGAGGGTTCATAGCACAGTAGGTAATCGGACATTATCCTGGCTGGGGTGAATTCTTCGGCTTTCAACATTCTTACCGGATTTCATCTTTAGTACTGGTTTTTAGGTCTTCCGCCGGGCATTTCTTGATCTTGGCATGCTATTCACGAAACTTCCTATTGGTTTTAAGCAGTGGTATCTAGACATTCTTAGCTACACGTTGAACTCTCTTTCTACTCTCACTATGGACAAAAGTTAGGGGGGACTGTTTAGTAATATATTTAGATCTGTTTCTAAATTAAGCTGCTTGATGTCATCTTGGTACTTTTTTCTGTATAATGTTCTCATCTAATTGCAGGGACCTGAGATTCGAACTGGTGTCCTCAAGGATGGAAAACCCATTCAACTCAAGGAAGGTCAGGAAATCACCGTAACTACTGATTACAGTATCAAAGGAGATGAGGAGATGATCTCCATGAGCTACAAAAAATTGCCTGTGGACTTGAAGCCTGGAAACACCATCTTGTGTGCAGATGGCACCATTACCCTCACAGTCTTGTCATGTGATTCAGTTGCTGGAACAGTTAGATGCCGTTGTGAGAACACTGCTATGCTAGGTGAGAGGAAGAATGTGAATCTTCCTGGTGTCGTAGTGGATCTTCCGACACTTACAGAGAAAGATGTAGAAGACATTCTAGGATGGGGTGTTCCTAACAATATCGATATGATTGCGCTCTCATTTGTACGCAAAGGCTCTGATCTTGTTAATGTCCGCAAGGTTCTGGGGCCTCATGCCAAGCACATACAATTGATGTCAAAGGTATGTGGATGCCAACCAAAAAGATTTTACTGTTGTACACATGGATGTCCAGTCTGTCTTGCATTATTTTTCGTCATTTTGTTTCATGGAAAAAGGAAAAGGTTTGGTGGGGGGGGGGGGGNGGGGGGGGGGGGGGGGGGGGGGGGGGGGGGGGGGGGGGGGGGGGGGGGGGGGGGGGGGGGGGGGGGGGGGGGGGGGGGGGGGGGGGGGGGGGGGGGGGGGGGGGGGGGGGGGGGGGGGGGGGGGGGGGGGGGGGGGGGGGGGGGGGGGGGGGGGGGGGGGGGGGGGGGGGGGGGGGGGGGGGGGGGGGGGGGGGGGGGGGGGGGGGGGGGGGGGGGGGGGGGGGGGGGGGGGGGGGGGGGGGGGGGGGGGGGGGGGGGGGGGGGGGGGGGGGGGGGGGGGGGGGGGGGGGGGGGGGGGGGGGGGGGGGGGGGGGGGGGGGGGGGGGGGGGGGGGGGGGGGGGGGGGGGGGGGGGGGGGGGGGGGGGGGGGGGGGGGGGGGGGGGGGGGGGGGGGGGGGGGGGGGGGGGGGGGGGGGGGGGGGGGGGGGGGGGGGGGGGGGGGGGGGGGGGGGGGGGGGGGGGGGGGGGGGGGGGGGGGGGGGGGGGGGGGGGGGGGGGGGGGGGGGGGGGGGGGGGGGGGGGGGGGGGGGGGGGGGGGGGGGGGGGGGGGGGGGGGGGGGGGGGGGGGGGGGGGGGGGGGGGGGGGGGGGGGGGGGGGGGGGGGGGGGGGGGGGGGGGGGGGGGGGGGGGGGGGGGGGGGGGGGGGGGGGGGGGGGGGGGGGGGGGGGGGGGGGGGGGGGGGGGGGGGGGGGGGGGGGGGGGGGGGGGGGGGGGGGGGGGGGGGGGGGGGGGGGGGGGGGGGGGGGGGGGGGGGGGGGGGGGGGGGGGGGGGGGGGGGGGGGGGGGGGGGGGGGGGGGGGGGGGGGGGGGGGGGGGGGGGGGGGGGGGGGGGGGGGGGGGGGGGGGGGGGGGGGGGGGGGGGGGGGGGGGGGGGGGGGGGGGGGGGGGGGGGGGGGGGGGGGGGGGGGGGGGGGGGGGGGGGGGGGGGGGGGGGGGGGGGGGGGGGGGGGGGGGGGGGGGGGGGGGGGGGGGGGGGGGGGGGGGGGGGGGGGGGGGGGGGGGGGGGGGGGGGGGGGGGGGGGGGGGGGGGGGGGGGGGGGGGGGGGGGGGGGGGGGGGGGGGGGGGGGGGGGGGGGGGGGGGGGGGGGGGGGGGGGGGGGGGGGGGGGGGGGGGGGGGGGGGGGGGGGGGGGGGGGGGGGGGGGGGGGGGGGGGGGGGGGGGGGGGGGGGGGGGGGGGGGGGGGGGGGGGGGGGGGAATAGTTGGATGATTATTTGCTGGATTTTACTAGTAGATTTTTGCCATTTGTTGCTATCAGAATAATTTTTGTTTGCTGGACCTGTTGAAGGTTGAGAATCAGGAGGGAGTTATCAACTTCGATGAAATCTTACGTGAGACCGACTCATTCATGGTTGCTCGTGGTGATCTTGGGATGGAAATCCCAGTTGAGAAGATCTTCCTGGCACAGAAAATGATGATATACAAGTGTAATCTTGTTGGCAAGCCTGTGGTAACTGCCACGCAGATGCTTGAATCCATGATCAAGTCTCCACGGCCCACTCGTGCAGAGGCCACTGATGTAGCTAATGCTGTCCTGGATGGCACAGATTGTGTAATGCTTAGTGGGGAGAGTGCGGCTGGGGCCTATCCAGAGATTGCCGTGAAAATCATGGCTCGAATTTGTATCGAGGCAGAGTCTTCTCTTGACTATGGGGCTATTTTCAAAGAGATGATAAAGTCAACCCCACTGCCGATGAGCCCATTGGAGAGCCTTGCATCCTCAGCTGTCCGTACAGCTAACAAGGCTAAAGCGAAACTTATTGTTGTCATGACGCGAGGTGGGACTACGGCCAAGTTAGTTGCCAAGTACAGGCCAGCTGTGCCAATTCTATCAGTAGTAGTCCCAGTTTTGACAACAGACTCATTTGATTGGACAATAAGTGAGGAGACCCCAGCTAGGCATAGCCTTATATACAGGGGCCTGATTCCACTTCTTGCAGAAGGATCTGCCAAGGCCACTGATGCAGAATCAACTGAGGTGATCTTGGAAGCTGCCTTGAAGTCTGCAACAGAGAAGGTGCTATGCCAGCCTGGTGATGCTGTTGTGGCACTTCACCGTATTGGAGGTGCCTCTGTTATCAAGATCTGCATAGTGAAGTGATTGGGGCATGCTTAGATTCACTTCTCAGGCCAACAATGTCAGAAGTTGGATTTCCATTTGGTTTTGAGACTTATATTATTCACAGATTTGATTGGTCTTTGTGAGGGTACTAGTAACTTTCATAGTCACCTATGTTTTGGACTCCCCCTGGATTGGCATGCTCCTTAATTGTACTCAAATTGTTGGCGATCGTACTTAACTCTGCTGAAATGGATTTTGTTGTTAAAATTTTTATCGTGAAACTTTAAGCCTTGTCTTGTCTTTTAGGTCTGAACTTTATTAATGAATACTGCCATCTGGACCTGTATAGATACCTTGACTACATTCAAGATATGTCAGATTATGTTGGCAGCTTACCCTGTTGGAGCACTCTGTGGGGGATCGATTAATCCTGTTTGGAGGTGCAAGCCCAGCTGTTGCATTGGTGGAGCAAGTGATTGTGCAAAAAGGAACTAGTATTAACAAGCTTGTTTTCAAATCTTTTGTGATCTACCCTTATTTCCGGTACTTCGAATTATTAAGTTGAGGTGGTTTTTCTTGATCCTGTACTTAACACGAGCTTGTTATTGGGTAGCACAGGAGATGCACTGATAATCATTCGCAGAAGCTACAAATCAATGTGAAGGAAACCAGCAGGCAAAACAATGCAAGTAATACCCTCTCTTGCAGGGTATGGCATCTCTACTGCTACATTGCTGTACTTCAATGAAACTTGGTTCATTGAAGTACAGCCCTTTTGTTGCAATGCAACTTACAGAACATTGCTAATTATCTTCTGAGACAAATAGAAGTAATAATAACTGAACAGGACATATAACGAGGAACGCATGATTGAGAGCGCCATCTGGTTTATGTTAATGACTTTGCGCGAGTTATCGGATTAGTATTGTTCCAAAAGCAGCAAAAAGCTGTTAAGTGCACCTCTTACTGCAACAAATGCTTCCGAATCTAATTTGTAAATGTTACGTGTAGCCATAGGCAGAGGGAGGTAGGGTCAGGGTGGGCCCGTGCCTCCCTCAATTTTTTATTTTTTTTAGTTAGATATATGTATTATATATTTATACATATATATTATGTGTGCTCCTCATTTATATTAGGCTCACATTATTTACTCAAAATAATTAAAAAATTAGGTCCATTTAAAATAAAAAAAATTAATCTCACTATTATTTATCCAAACTTATTAAAAAAATCAAATATTTGACCTATTACAATCCACACAAATTAAATATGTTAGTTTTGGATTGAGTCAATGTTTTATTTGTATGTTGACAAAAATACAATATTTCTCTTTATCTAACACAATGTTTGTTACTTTTTAAGAATAATTTTTATTTTTTATTTACCATTTTTTTAATAATAGTAGTCTATAACCTAATAAAATACGAAAATTAATTTACATTTAATTCATATACAAAATTTTAGAGATTTTAAAAAATTTTATATTTTATTGAAATATATAATTAGGTTAAAATGTACTAAAAAAATATTTTATGTCTTTTTATTAAGATTTTGTTTCAGCTAAATAAATATTGAATTTACTATTTCACAATAATTTAGTGTTAATTCTTACTTTTTTTTTTATTCTTTAATTGAATTTTTTTGTATTAATGTCGGCTTAATATTGTATTATACCAGTTATATTTTACCTTTATCATAGATATTCATGGCTCTGTCCTTGACTTTTTTGGAATTTTTTATGTTAAATGGACTTCATATATCAAATATAATATAATAAATATAAATACGTTATATAGTGTGATTGATTAGAAAGAAAAAAAATTAGAGTGTATAATTAAAATGTCCACCCTGAACAAAATTCCTGGCTCCGTCCTTGGTGTAGCACCTTTTATTGAAAAAGTGATGAGTTGAATCGTCAAAACTTTTAGATATACACATCCTAATATTTCACACAGAGTGAATACAGAGTCTCAGTCTTAAAGAATTCAAAGTAGGCAAGAAGACCACAACTTTTGGATGCACTTCACGGGTCTCAGAAATAGATTCTTGGGAAACATGTGAAAGAGCTAAGAGAACTTCGTGGAATCCATCAAGTAAGAGACTTTATATACCTTGGTCATCCTAGAATGGTTTAGACTTAGGTTTAAAATTAGATTTAGAACACTTTACGTAAATTTATAGTGATGATGTACAAAGTTAACTATGCACGATCAAATTAGTTAAGTGTGTGGTGTAAAGCAATTAATGAAGCAATCAATAAGAAGAGACAAAGATTAGGTGGTTAGGTATGGGTGACCTAACCACTGAAGGCGGCAACAGTAGCCGAAGAACTCTATTAAAGAGAGAGTACAAGGTAGAAGGAGAGAGAGAGAGAGAGCAAAAGTATGCTCAAGGAGAGGTGTGTGTGTTCTACCCACTTGTGTAGGGAGTTTATAATTTATAGGCACAAAGTCCTAGCTGAGACGGTGACGTTTGGATCAATGTACTAGTTTATCTGGGAGGACAACTAAAATTGGGGATACACATTATCTTGGAGTCATGGATATCCCAATGATTGCTTTCCCACGTGCGTTGATTTCTCCTGAACTCTTGAGCTTTGGACTAGATTGAAGCCATGAGCTCAGCCTGGTCTGCCTTTTGATGATTTGAGATTAACCCATAAATTGGACCTAGGCCTGGTTTGAATTTGGGCTCGTCATTTGTCCGTCATACTCCAAGCCCTACTAGTGATAGGGGGTTGAGGGCATGAGAGAGTTCCTTCATTAGTGTAGACCAAGGTATCTTGTTCCATAGGGTGACTTATTCTCTTCAGCTTTTTCGAAGCTTACTTCCTCATTTGGCAGTACCATTGCTGGACACCTATTGTGTTAGCAAACTAATTCCTTTGCTGGGTTTCTCATTAGATTTGTGAAAGCTTTATTCCTTTACATTAGAAATCCCCTTTTCTAATTAGAGCTAGGGAAGTGACATTCTCTTTCTTCCTTCCACAAGCAACAGAGAAAGGATAAAGAGAAGCACAGACACTTCTGCATGAGGAGATGGATATGCTTTGGCGAGTGGTACTTTGGAAAAGGAGAGAAGCTTGGGTGGCACCATGGATATGAACTTGGCTGACACCACTAGGGAAGGCGCGAGACTGGGCGGTGCCATGGGTGACACCATGGAGGACCCAGGCAAATTGATAATGTCTTCGATTTTTGAAAATTCTCTCTTTCATTCAAACTCCATAGGTAATCCTGTGGTTGATAGATCAATGGTGGAGGCTCTCTGTGTCACTAGGACGACGAGCTCCCCTCCTCTAAAGAGGGCGAGATCTAATGCCTCTACTGCTTCCCAACTGAGGTCTGATAGCCCTACTGTTTATTGAAAAGTGGTGTCTGATGGTGCCCCCGCTTCTTTCCAACATGTGACCCCTTTAAGTCTTAGGGTTAGTCATAGGACTACTTTAAAGACTGAGACTCCTGTGTAGACCTCCACTAAGACTGGAGCTTCGAATAATTGTCCTACTTCTAGCAGTGGCCTGTGTCCATGCTACAGTAAGTGAATTTGGCCAAGGAGCAACTTTAGAGGTTTGTGACATCCTCAGATATTAGAGAGGTTGGCTCTTGAGGTTCTAAGGGTATCATCGATACTGCGATGGAGGGCTTTGTTATGGTACCCTCCCTTTCTGTGCAATCTTGTCTTCTATATGATTTGGTCATACTGACATTCTTATTTTTGGATATTCGCAGATGGCTGTGGTTTTTTTGTGCCTTTTTTTTAGGCACTTCAAACTCGATGCATGCTGTTGAGGAGTAGTTGAGATTAGTTTATGAGAGAACAAAAACTCTGGAGGCTGAGCTTTCAGGAGACCAAGGCTACTTATGTAAGAGGCAGAGTGAGGCCAAACTTTTGGCGACTCTTGAGAGAGCCGCTAAGTTGGAGACTAAGGCTATTTGCGTGAGAGCAAAGGCAAAGTTAAGAAGAGCTTTTGGCGGCTACTTGTGAGAGAGCCGCTAAGCTAGGGACTAAGACTACTTGCATAAGAGTAGAGACAGAGTGAGACTGAGCTTTTGGCGACTTGCGAGAGAGCCGCTAAGCTGGAGACTAAATCTGCTTTAGTGAGACTAGAGGTAGAGTTAGGACAAGCTTTTGGAGACTCGCGAGAGAGCCGTTAAGTTGGATACTGAGGTTGCTTGCGTGAGAGTAGAGGCAGAGTTAGGCCGAGCTTTTTGGGACTCGCAAGAGAGCTGCTAAGCAAGGGACTGAGGCTGCTAGCGTGAGAGCAGAGGTAGAGTGAGGTTGAACTTTTGGAGACTTGTGAGAGAACCACTGAGCTGAAGACTAAGGTTGTTTGCTTGAGAGTAAAGACAATGTTAGGCTAAGCTTTTGACAACTCGTGAGAGATAGAGTTAGGTCGACCTTTTGGCGACTTTGGAGGCTCTTTCCCAAGAGGCAAAGAGGAGGTGGGAGATGACAGTGAGGGTAGCCAAAGGGCATTGATAGATAGAGGTGACAGAGCATGGGTGTTAAGCGTGGGAGGCAAGGCCACCTGGTGCACCAAGAGGGGTGACGCCGGGCACCAAAGGCACTGCTGATCGAACTGGAAATGCGATGCGGGTGGTGTGCCTAGGTAGGTGAGGAGGCAGATGCTAAGGCAAGGGTGCACGGGAGCTGTGGGATTGGGGAGCTGGGTGCGGGCACTGGGCGATGGGTGGAGTATTAAAAAATCATATAGAAATGGCGAAACTTTGAACGACCATAACTTTGTGCTCGGTTATCCATTTGAGGTGATTTTTTTTTTTTTGGAATTAGGGTATTTTTTCTAGATCTAGTAGTGTCATACAACCTACGGTGGTTTGGACACCAAATTTCCCAAAAAATGCTTATTTTTCACTGAATTTGAATTTCAACTGCAAATTAGTAAAGAAGTAGAATTTTTTCGTGTCTACTTTTTGTTTTCCCTTCTTCATGAGGACTCAACTCATCTTGCTTTGATGACATTCGTAACATTCATGTATTTTTGGGCTTTTGATAGTAATTCCAGCATGTTTTTTAGC